CACCAAGGAAGCAGGAAAAGGAAAATTTTTGTTTGTTTGTTTGTTTATAATTATTATTATTTTTTATAACAAAATAATTGCTTTAATTGCAGTAATTAATTTATTACATTTCAGTTCTTGAAGTGTTCATATGTAACATGAAAACAAAAACTAACATTTTGAAAGTCTTGCATGTGATCCATTTGCAAGAACTGCTGGCTGTTACACATTCAGTTAAATAAACCCATTTTCTCAGATTTTCTAACCTAATTTCTCAGTTCATTCTGTTTCTTTGTCTTATAAGACCTTCATTAAGGTTGAATCCAAAATTTGGGGAATTCCAAAGAGGTGTTTTCACCAACCTCATTTCATAGCTTGGGCCTTTCAGAGATTTTTTTGTATGACCTGTACTCATAGCAATGTTTGAAGTCCAGAATGCAATCATGAAGCTACAGAGAACCATTAGAGGTGTGGAAAAAATCCTGTGTCTGTGATGGACAATGTAGATTAGTTATTTAACTGCTTGAAAGTAAATATCCCCCTTAATTCAAATGAGTTATTTCTAGAAAAGACACTCAATCCTGCAGAGCAAAGGGAAGTTAACAGTGGAAGGAAATCAAAAGCCTATGTTTAGACCGTGATCAGGACTTATAGTATGATAATTTGCTAATAGGATTAATATAAAAAAAGAACTATTTTTGATTGTGTGTCAGCCTACAATGCAATGTGCTGAAAAAATAAATTCTAGAGTAGTTTAATTCAAAAATAAATTGGATGTAATTCTGTTTCTTCCACTACTGTGTGCTTTTTTCACACCTTTTGTTCTCTTCCACCTGCTAGGAGATGGAGACTAGGTAAAAACCTGAGCTTTTTAACTGATTATTTATAATACTCCCCTGTTTTTTTAGATTATTTTCTTTAGTTAATTATGCTTTTCCCCTTGTTATAGAAGCTGTTTCTGCGTTACATCTGACTGGTCCCTGACTCTTCTGGGCTCAGCTACAAAACAGCAAGCAAATACACATCTCACAGTCAGTCTGCTGAGTAACACACTAGCTGAAAGGAGCCTCCCATCTGAACTCTTTTTCTGAGGTCATTTCCAGGAATGAGTCAGATGTAGTATGTGGAACATCCACACTTTGCCTAATGAGGAACTTTTGTTGTTTGATATATGTGCCAGCTTTGAATTTTATCTCCTTGTGCCAGGTTGGCATGTGGTACCCTTCAGGGTGTCACACTTGGTGAAGTCAAGCATCCTTTGAGCTTCTGCTGTTTTTGAGCACTCTGAGGGTTTATGAGCAGCTTCAAATTTTCAAAAAGACTCCCAACATAGCCCTGAAAATCTTATCCTCTCCAACCATGCCCCATTTTCAAGGCTGGCTCAGGAACACAGCAAAGAGGAAATTAAGATAATTTTCCATTACTGTGTTTCCCAGCTGAGCTTTTTTTCCTCACTTTGTAATATCCCTCTGCTTCAGGAGAGAACAAGCCCAAAGTTAAGAGAAAGCGCGGATGCATAACTGCCTGTTCCCTGCTCAGAGGCATTATGTTTAGAGAAGGTATTTCAGGCAAGGTGATTTATTTTAATTAATATCCATGATTGTGGGTTTTTTAATTATTATTTCTGGAGAAAGCCTAAGATACCATTTGGGAGTTTTCCAGGAAATAAATCACCAGTTAACAGATTTAAGACCTTTTAACATCTACGACTATTTGTTCTCCTACATTTACTTCTAATGCTTCCACAATTTGGTAACTGAGCTAACCCAGACCGGCTGCATTCTCTCTCAGTTCAGCAAATTCATTTAACCTGCTCATGCCAGAAGAAGCAAAAAATCTTTTGTCTAATATTATATTCACTTAGCTACTGGGTAAGGATGGTTGCAATGGACATAAGACTGATGACAAATACTGTGTTCAGTGATTTCTATCTCTCTTTGCAGGATATTCTGAAGTTCTGCAAATTAGGTAGCTGGGCTTGAGTAGGTTGCCTTCTAGGTTTTTCCTGTGTGTGGCCATATTAAAAAAGAGACTTTTCCACCCTGATGCTACTGAACTGCATTAGCTTCCTTTCAGAGTGAGTAGTGTGTTAGTGTATTATCGTGCTTTTAACTTACGTGTAAAGATACAGCAATTTTCTCTGAAACATCAGTACGACAACTGCTAAAAGAATGGTAGGGGGAAAACAGAATTTTGTGGGGGAAAAAAAAAATCTCAGAACTCCTCTTTTCTAAAATAATATAGCCAAGCATCTGCTTTTGCATTACAGGGATGTACCCAGAGACATGTTAGAAGCAAGGGTCATTTGTTGGCTTTTAGCCATAACAATTTCCTTCCAGAAAGTCTTTTCACCACTAGTTTGGAACCTGAAAGATAGTTGCAGTAAAACTCTGAAAGTCAAACCTGCAATGACTTCTGCATAAGCAAAAATGAGCAAGGTAAGTCAACATTTCTTAATATAATTCAGAAAATGGAAAAAAGATTAAAGGATTTATTTTTTAAAAAAATATGAAAAATATATGTATTTTTAAAGGATAGCCACTATGACTTTTAGAATACATTATTGCAGCTTTTTTGTTTTCCTCTGTCATTCCAGGTCTTAAGACCAAAAAACACTACTCACACTTTGCTAGATGTAGGAGCAGGTTGCTTAATTCCTGAAGACTGTAGAAATTTGTGTTGCCTTGAGGCAGAGAAGTTAGTCTTCTTATTTTATCCTTTTAGGAAATTCAGTCTCCACCCAGCAATATATATTGTCATTGCTTTTTAGAAGCAGGACCAACCCATTTGCAATCTGGGAATCCGATGATTATTCTTATTCCATTAGCAAATACTTGCAAAGTAGGGAATAACAAAATAAATCATGGGAGAATTTACTGAATATTTTTTCTCTTAGGAATTTTATATAAGCCTTAATACTAACAACCTTGCACAACACAAGAAAAGCCAACCTAGAAGTATCTGAACAAGAAAAAAAATGAACTCTGTCAGTGTTGAACTATATTTTATTCACACCCACAGAGCCCACAATAACATGGAGCACCCTACAGAAATCACAGTACAGGAACCCAGCTCCTTTTAATTGACTGTGGTGTGAACAACATTGGAATATACTATGTCTTGTCTCCTTGCCTTGAGAGAAAATTCTTTACTATATGTTATTACAATCCTCCACCTAGTTTGAGGCAGAAAAGGAAAATAGAGAAAACAGAAGGGGGAAGTAGTCAAAATTCTCTACAATGCAGGAAACTTTTAAAGAATGATGTAAGTCCCATTCTCCCTCAAAACAACATCATTTAAGAGCTGACAGCAGCTGTCTGCCTCCTCTACCAGGACAATATACTTTGTCTTTTTGTCTTGCATCAAACATACAAGGTGGAATCAAGAGAATACAATTAAATCTGTTCCTATGCTTGATTTGCCAGAACCACTCTGTAATCTACAGATGTACAAGGGTCGCTGAGAAAATGTGATATGGCCATATTGCATTTTTGGCAGAAGCCATAACCAGCAGCAGTGTTCACAAGGATCTGGGATTTATGCTTCATTTAAAGCTGGCATAATTCCAGCCTGGCTGAAAAAGGATCAGGAGCCCTGTTAGGTCCTGCTTAGCAATCATGACTTTCAAACTTTCTTCTTTGACTAGGTGGTTGAACAAAGAGGTTGAAAAAGAATGAGATTTGTGACCTTCACAGTGACTTAAAAGCGTTTTGGTTTCTAAACTTTGCTTTAGACCTGACCTAAGCACATTGATCTCATCCTGAAAAATCACCAAACACTGAATTATGCCAATAAACTTTTTATAACTTCCCCTGAAGCCCACTTACAGATTGCAGCTCATATAGAGTGTGACCACATGAATGCATAAAACTCTGGCTCCATAACATCAACACTACTGTTTGCCACATTCATTAAATGTATATTACATGGAAAGTTTTCACTTCTGCTGTGAATGGAACTCCTTATCATAACTATCCACTCTACCATGTGAAATCTTCACTGCTGCAGCTGCTGGGAAAATTTAAGGCAATTACTTTGGCTTCAAAGACTCTGCATCTCTGGAATTTTCTCTTATCAGCTCTAACCCTGGCATTGTGTCATAATGAATTGACACAGAACTGAGTACAACACACCTTTCCAAACCTCTTGTGATTGTTACCCTCCTATAGAGCTGAGTCTTTTCATATGTGAGGTCTATGAGATCATCAGTATGATGACACAAATTAAACAGAACAATCATGATATCAGTCCTACTTGTAATTTTTTTTTTTTACATGAGGCATGAAAGCACAGTCTCTCACCTACCTCAGTTCCTCACTGCAATGAGCCTCTGGGTAAAGAAAAGATGGGTAAAGAGCAATTCAGGTTAAGCTGATGCACAGCTAATTGGCAGAATACTTCCTAAAAATGTTCTTCCCCTTTATACCTTCATTATTCGGAACCTATTATCTCAATGTAAGCAATCAGCACACAATCTTTGGGTACTCCTGGACATCTTGACAGTGTGACGTTTCAAAAACCTGTTAACAATAAGCCACTCCTTTCTTCTCATAATCATATGTTGTGTCTAACTGTTCTGGATGTGCACAGGCTCCCAGCACTCTGTGCATCACTGCCTGCTTACTATAGCATAATCAAAAATGAAGCTGCACTGGGAAAGAAAAAAAAAAACAAACAACTTAAATTAGTAGTAAAATACAGCCTGTTTCCTGAATGTAAGGTCAAATAGATATTATGGCCACATCTCTGAATTGTGCACTTAGCAAAATGCAGAATCTAATTTCAAATCACTTTTGTGAAAACCAAATTTCTCCATGGGAAAGTTTTTACTTACCTGAGTTAATCAGTCTGCTCCTGTCAAAGTTATCTTGCCATGGAACAATAAAGCTGTTGACTAAGCTGTTTGAATGAATGCAAATGATTTAATTTTCACTGAAACTAGAGTTAGACAGAGATCGGGACTCATCCTATGAAGGTAAGTCGTTGTTTTCATAGATAAATTTAAATGCTACTTTTTTTACCTTAGTTTCTCCTGCAGAGTTCCCATACACAGTGGTACAGAATATGCATTTACAGTTAAATATTCATAAAGATACTTGCGCCAGTTTGTTTCTCTTTTCTGGTTAGGGAGAAACACAGAGATAGTATCTCACATTTTAAACACTTGGGAGGTACTAGCATACTACAGTACCAGTATGAGGCTGGTTTTGTGGGTATAGAAACTGAAAGCTGGGTGGGTAGATTTTTATTAAAATATTTTCATTAATTCAAGCAGATTTTTTCAACTGGATACATATACTACATTTAGTTTCACTAATGGGTTTAGAGTTTAAACCTGTACTATTTCCGGCTACTTTGGGAATACTCTGTTGGATTTTGACCTGAAAATGCTTCCACTGACACTTCACAATGTATTTTTCAACTTGCTGATGTTTGCTAGGGGACCTGTCCCCATGTATTAAATGACAGTGACATTAGGATAAACAAAACAACACTTGAATCTCTTCTCAGAGGAATTCCAGGCTGATTTCAGGACAGAAGAGTAGAAATATGAAGAAAACCCAAAATGGTTTATGACCTGCATATATTTCTCAATTATTTATAAAGGCCTAGTCCTTTCTGTAGACTATTGCCAGTCCATTTGTCTTCATTTGTTCTCACACTTGATAGTTTGCATGTACAACGAGGTCACTTGCTCACATATTTGTCACAACACTGACTTACAGGTTAAATTCGAACAGCAAAAACAATGACGTAGAAAACAACTCTTACCTTTAAAGAATGCCTTCACTGAATTGCCATCCTCTAAATTATAGACAGGGGGAAAAAAACAACTGTAAGAAAGCTTTATTATCACTTTTCTTCTGAAGTTATGTTCTTATTGAAAAGGGCTCTTCAGTAGTAGCTAGGCATTAAGTCTATACTATATTGTTATAACACAACTTTTAACAAAATACTTTTGGCAGTTAGCTCCCTCTCAGTTTTCCCATCATCTTGATATGCAACTAACCATCTTTCACTGCTAAAACAAAAGTAGTAAGATTAACAGTTATTATCAGTATATCAAAAGTAATCTGACAATTACCTTCTCTCTCCAATAGTGTTTTTATACTTTTTTATCACATTATGCCTTGAGACTACTTCCTAGATCAAATTTTCTTTTATACATTCATCATAGTTGGCCTTATTAGGCCCTTGTATTAGGAGAATTTGGCTCACTCTGCTCCAGGCAAATAGGAATTTTCATAGTAGCCATATGAAGTACTATAGTATTTAATCTAATGTACTTCATATAATATTAAGCATTTACATGATCAGAGAATCAGGTGTACATTTGGGGAGGTTATATAACCTTCTGTTTTTAGTTTTAATTATATTTAAAACGATATATAACTCCTGCTAATCTGGAAGTTTCTAAACATTCTGTAGATCTCCAGTAATTAACTGAACTTCTCTTTTTACTTTCCTTTTCTTTCATACTGATGAATTTAAGGATTTTTCCCAGAATATCATTTCACAACAAGCCATACTTCTTTTGGCTGATCCCCCATGCTGATATAACAACACTTTACAGCCTTTAACAATTTCATTTAAAAATAAATACATGTTCACTATCAGCTTCTATTCTGTTAGTTGATGCTGTATTTGTTTAAACCCAAGAATCCATAATATTTTTAATTTCTTCTATGTAACATCTCTACGAATAAATCTCTTTATGCATACAGGCCAAACTCCACTGTATTTCAACTATTGTTGCACTAAATAGCTTGATCAACTTTTGTGACCTAGCTCCTCATTCCCTCCTAAGAAACAAAAGATCACTACCAGTTTCTGAAAATAGAAAGCAAACTTTGACACATTGGTAGCACACACAGACTGCAGGCAAAACTCCTCTAGTTCTATATATATTGCCCCTAATCTTTTTCTTAGAGCTCAACAATTTCTTTTTGACAAGGTAGTTTTATAGAGCCAGTGTCTTCATTAAGTGTCCAGCCTTTTAGAGAAGCGTCATAAAAATCTCCTTGAAAGTATAGAAACAATTCTGTCATTCATCTACTCTTCTGATAACCACCTTTTTTTTTTTTTTTTTAGCCATCTTTTAGCAAATAAATTAAAAAGCCTAATAGCCAAAAATGAAAACTAAACTGAAAACCTGATCATCAGAATTATAGTTCTGAAATGAATAAGTGGTTCTTAACTAGTCATTTCCAGGAATCTTGCAAACTGAAACCCTGGGTTTTTTTTTGTAAACATGTAGGATTCCAAAGGGAGGGGAGCTGACTCTACTGAACCCTTAAAGATTTTCAAGACTTTAAGTCACAGTTCTCAAGATAACATGGAAACTATTACACTCATATAACTCATATTGGTAAATTCTGAAAACCATATACTACAGAATATAATTAACTGGATCTAACATACAATTCTTCAAATTATTTCTATTGTATTTCATATACTAATACATAAATAACAGAGAAATTCTTATTTTCATCTATTGGCTTGATGTTACAGATTTTTTTCTGGTATAGCCATATAATTCAGCTCAATGACTGCTAAAAGTTCAGGTTGCCGTTGCCTTAGATAAAAAGAAAATTTGGAAGAACAGGCTGTTTAGAATTTTTAGAACTGAGAGAATCAAGCATTTTTTAATATTCCCCTTGGCAGCAAAATTCTAGACCTATACAAGTAGAGATTTACCAAACGAGAGGAAGTATTGTAGCTTTCCTTCAGGAGAAAAGTTAAAGGTCTTTCCAAAGATTCCCAGGATCTATATAAGGTTTTCAGTAACAGAGAAAGATAAACTGACCAAAATCAGTGCAGCTAGACCTTTACACATAATGCTTCTTAAAAGATTAAGAACTGAAAGCTCATTTGTTTTCATGAGGTCTTCATATAGTTCTGATTTTAAAAAAGATCAATGCATCTTTCCTCCTGTGCAACATTTCAGTTTGAGCTTCTTTGTATCGGAGGGCTGAGACTCCCTCCGATACAACTTTGTTCTTTGTCTTCCATGGCAAAATTTTACATTATTTGTATGTGGAAAAACTCTGGGGCATTGTTCATTTTTTTCAGTTGTGTGCACATGCCTCTTCTGCAATCTTTTCTTTAGGTTGCCAGTAGCATAACAAATTCTTTTTCTCCGTGAACAACATACCTAGTCCAAGGAAATACAACCTCCTGAGCTTCCTTTCCTTCTTTATACTTGATGGTGATCTTATCCAGGGACAACACATCCATTGCGTGTGTTGAAATGACAAAAGTTTCTGATGTGAAATAATTCATTTTTAAAAAATAAATTTAAAGAAAAAAGCCAGATTACCTTTTTCCAGCAGAAACACGAATCATATTAAAACAGCGAAATAGTGAAGCTCTATTAGCAGAATGAAAGCGCTGTTATTCTGTGCCTATCACAAGAGGTACAATGTTGATTCTTCTCTGCCTTGCTCCATTTTTATTTTAAAAGGGGTGGGGTTTTTTTTTGCCTTGAAGAAAAGTATATGCATATATCTGTGAACTGCCAGCACCATTCACATCCGAGCTACATATTTCCATTCCCTGTGAACAGTGAGGAGGATGTTGGGACAACTCTGTTTATACAGTTAACTGAGATCAGAGTGAAAGCTAGAAAATTTGGTCCTCTCTGAGGGAAGTTGTTATTGCATATACAAGAGTATTAATTAACAAATCATTAAGACCTCTCATATGCAAATTGTGTGGGGTTGCAGCCTTGAAGGGGCTTTTCATGTCTAGGTGCCAGTAACTGAGAAAACTGAGGATCTGAGGAACCAGGGCCAGAGACTGGATAGACTGAGTGTTTAAGTCCAGCTACTGGAGACCTTATACATCCATACTGTAAATGCATTTATATTTGCCATGGATGGACTGTCATTCTGATCAGCTGGAGAGGGTAACAGGTGTTTGTGTGTGCTGAGTTCTTGTCTGTGTTGACATGCATGACTGGCCTGTACATACATGTATGTGTTTTATAAATGTGGGGTTTTTTGTGTGCCTACTGGGAGCACATACTCAGACTTGCTACTGTTGGAACCAGCAGGCATGGAGCTGTGCAGCCGCATTTGTATCAGGCTACTGAATTCATCCTCTCCCCAACAGCAGTCAGCACCATCACACTTGTGCTGATCTCTTAGATCACTTCCAATAACCATCCTAGCAACTGGTACAGTTCTCCTGACAAAGCCCTTTTCAAATATCCTGTTCTCACTGTGTCTGCACCACTCACAATTTGTCATATTGCTTACCAGGTTTTGCCTGACTCATATCATTATTTATCAGCACAATGTAGCAAAACAGCATGAGGGATGTTTTGGTTAGAAGCAGACAACTGTCCTATTTATTCTCATGCATCTGAGCCTGGAAGTCACTAGAAAGCAGCAGTCTTGGACTTGCCCAGGCAGTACATGGAGCAAGACATCAGGCCCAGGGTATGCTGCAAGCTTCTGTCACCCTCCTATCCTCAAGATTCACCAGCAATCAGGCAGGTCACAATGAAACAGGCCAAGAGAAGATTAAAAGCACCACTTGTGTAAATTTACAAATATGTATGGAAGATTTCTACGGAGAAGAAGGTTCTTTCAGCAAAGACACATAATTTAGTGACTCATAACTAACCAATGCTAAAACCCTGCAGTCTAGGACAAAAGTCTTCTTCTTTCCTCTTTCACAGTGGCTGTGAGAGAAGATCCCTGCAGTTTATGAGCCCCAAAGAAGGTATACATTCCATGATGCAGCTAAGACAGCCTCCAAGAGTAAAGACTTTCTGCCCTATCACTCAGGCAGGCCCAGCATAAAGGACCTCTCTTTTCCAACTCACAACACCCAAAAGACTGGGTCTCTAGATGGTCTTTCCTGACTGACCATCCTTTTCCAGGTCTCAAAGGCCCTGGTCACTTCAGGCCATGCTTATCTGGGACTAGTTTTGGATACAGTTCAAAAGAGATCTGTGAGGTCTGCCTGTGCTGAGTACAATGAGAAATCATCTTAATTACCAAGGCAGAAATTTTGTTATAGATAGAATTCAATCCATTGTCCTGTTGAGACTCTCCTCCTAAAACGCAATTTTAAACTCCATTGTCAAAGAACAGCTTAAGATAGCTGAGT